TTGTGAAAGCATAAGGTCTTCTACCTCTTCTTTCCTCTCCTCATCTGAGAGAGACATCTGACAAAGAGAACTTTGTCTTCCTCATCTTCCTCTTTCCACTCTTCCTTCTTTTCTCATTTGTTCTTCTTGTCCTGCTCTTTTTTTGTCCTCCTCATCTGCCTCAACTTATTCCTCTTTCTCCTTCTTTTCATGTGTCCCTTTCCCAGTGTCCCTCATCCTTGTGAAAGCATAAGGTCTTCTTCTTCTTCTTGCCTCTCCTCATCTTCTCTTCCTCATCTTTCTCTTTCCCCTCTTCCTTCTTTTCTTGTTTTTCTTGTTCTACTCTTCTTCATCCTCCTCATCTGCCTCAGCTTCTTCCTCTTTCTCATCTTTTTTGTGTTCCTTTCTCCATGTCCCTCATGCTTGTGAAAGCATAAGCTCTTCTTCCTCTTCTTTCCTCTCATCTTCTCTTTCTCTTCCTCATCTTTCTCTTTCCCCTCTTCCTCCTCTTCTTATTTGTTCTTCTTGTCGGACTCTTCTTCATCCTCCTCATCTGCCTCAACTTCTTCCTCTATCTCATCCTTTTCATCTTTTTCTTGCTTGTCCTCTTCATCGTCTTCCTTATTCTCATCTTTATCCTCCTCTTCTTATTTTCCTCCTCCTCACCATCCTCCTCATCTTTTTTTCTATGTCCTACTCATCTTCTTCCTCCTTCTCATCTTTATCCCACTCTTCTCTTGTTTTCTTCCTCCTCTTCTTTCTCTTCCTGTTTCTCTTCCTCCTCTTCTTCCTCTTCTTTCTCTTCCTCACCTTCCTCCTTCTCTTCTTGCTCCTTTCTTGTCTTTCCCCTTCTCATCTTCCTTTCTCTTCCTTATTCTCCTCTTTCCTCTCTTCTTCTTCCTCCTTTTCTTCCACCTTGTTTCATTGTCTTGCTCTTCCTCATCATCTTCTTCCACCTTCTTCCTTCATCTTCCTCCTCCTCATGTTCTTCCACCTTGTTTCATCTTCTTCCTTCTCATCCT